AACATGATGCATTAATAACGTATAAAAATTATTCAAGCTTCATTCTCATCAAATAATCTCGATTCTTATAAATCTGTGTGAATTGATGGATATGTAAAATTTAACAATATCAAAAATTCACTTCAATATCAAAAACCAATTTATTTCTTTTAAATCTTCTTTTAATTCTTTTAAATTAAAATAGTGCTATTTCAGTAGAAAAGATTTTTTCACAGTTTCTACAGTTTCCAAGAAAATATTTTGTTATACACAGCCAATCACATCATTTTAGAATATTTAAAGGAAACAGTCAACAATTTGAGAAAATAGGTATTAATTAATTTATTCGTTGAAATTGGAATGCTTCCAAACACGTGAAAATAGACATATTAAAACGAATAAAATTGATTACTGCATTACTAATGCAAAAACAAACATAAATGTTAATATATATTTCTATATAGATAATTAAAAGATAAATATTTTTTCAAGTTAACTACTTCACAATGAAACTTGTGTACACGATGTACTCTTCGATCAATTACAATATAATTAATAAGCCAAGGTAAACGAACGTAAAGCATGAAAAAACCATGTCCGTTTGAAATATTTTTATCTTCTCAGTCGTTTCGTGGTCCACTAATGATTAAAACTGTATAAATGTACATACCCGATCGGGCGACGCTTTCCACTGAAAGATTGGATACACCGAAATTTCCGGTGAGCGCTCGAAATTGTTTAAATCAGAACGTTCGCCGGGAATTTTCGGGGACAAACGACACGGGGGTAGAATTTGGTGTGCGCGGCTAGCAGAGCAAAGCGGAGCGAAGCAGAACGGGATCGCGAGTTTTAAAGAGTTTCAACGTCCTATTATAAAGTCTTCACCGTGCATAATAACATTCAACTCCGTGGGCTGGAAGGCATTAGGGAAATCGTGTTGCCTCCCCCTGGCTGTTTCTCCCTCACCCCTTTCCCTGCCAACCCAACCCCGCGATATCCCGCCCCTCGTTGGAACGTGCCGTCTCGGTTCTGGATATTTCCCTGTAGCATGCGGACAATACGGCCCCCACAAATCAGCGGATCTCGCGGCGCGACACGATTTTGCGTCTCGTCGATTCTCCTGCGGCAAACGGCGACCGGGTTCCATCGAATAAGACGTGGGAGGATCTGGCTAATGTCGGGTTAAGGTCCATAAATAAAGTAGAAACAGACAAACCTGGCGCGGCGCGTCGTACGCCCGTGGCTGGTCTCCATCGCTGCCTTGGACCCTGGAAGTGAGAGATGATGCGGTTGAAAGGCAGTATGTTTTTGTGTTTATAAGAATGTTATATTTTCTCGGTAGTAATGGGGCGGCCTCTAACGAGGCGATCCGTAAATACGTTATTAGTGCGCTAATAAATGATATTTATATACAGATTGATAAAAAAAGAGGAAAGAGCTCGCATCTCTTAACGTCGTACAGCGACGGTTGTTTCTTTTCTCTCTTTCTCTATCTCACAGCTGGTGCAACAGCTTTTATTCTCACTTTTACTCTCGCTTTCTCGCGCCCATGCACGCACACACACACACACTCACGGCACGCACGCACGTTCTCTGTCTCTCTCTACCTCCCTCGTTCTCCCTGTCGCGCTTTTTCTCTTCGTCTGCCTCTACCTATCTCTCCGTAACGTCTTTGTACTTAATCGATACGATGGTTTCAAATTTTGCTCGCGATCCAGAATAATTTACAACTGGAAGGATCGTCCCGCGATCCATGGAAAAGTTCCGTGACCCGCAGCTACGACGGGCGTGAGATCATTTTCAGAGGCGGAGGAAAGACGAACGCAACTAGTCTCCACGGCCAGGGAAGTTTTCCAGGATCGTCGTGCGCGATTCTCGCTTCGTCGATCGACGCGGGTCGGATCTGGCATCAGCGCGCTTGTCGTTCTTCGTTCATCTAAGCCGTGATTTGGTATAGTGTCGCCCTCATCTCCGTTCGCCTCTTCTTCTCCAGCCTGTTTTTGGCATTAAAGCGTAAAGCCGCGACTAAGCCCCTCGTCCGGCAGACGTTTCAACGCGAACAAGTCGGCCACGCGCGTTCGGCTCGATGCTTCGAGCGGGAAACGACGCGATCCCGATAGGCCGCGATTCGGAAGCGGAATTAATCGACTGTTCGAGGTCACTGGGCGAAGCTGACCCAACGAACTTCTCGCGCACCCTCCGCGAGCAGCCGATTCAGTCCGCTTCGAGCAGACACGTCGAAATCGCCGGCCGTTCCGCGAATTCGCCGAGGTCCGGAAAGTCGCCCGTCGCCCGTCTGCCTGCGAGCGAGCATCGAAACTCTTCTTCTATCGTTAATCTTTGGTATCAACCGTCTTGAACAATTGCGCCTCGTTTTCGGCTCGTATACCGCGATTCGGAGACCCCTCGGGATTCGTCGTATTCGCCTAATCGAGAACACTGTGTGCGCGCGCTGTGGATCGCGCCTCGACCGTACCGAACGATGGAACAAACACTCTTAACGATCGCGGAACGGTAATCCGATAGTCGAAGAACAAATGGAACTTAACGACGACTCAACGATTCGCACGTTCGCCGCGGTCGTTCGAAGTGTCCGGCAATCGATTCCTCGTCATCTCGACGTCCCTCTGTTTCGCGATTCGACCGCCGGATCCTCCTCTCCACTCCGGCGTGTTCTCGTCTGCTCGATTAGCTACTGCGTCGAATAGCGACGAATCACGAATACCGTTTAAAAATCACCGATTGGTCTGCGTATACTGATAGTCTCTCGGGGTTGCAGAGTCGACGATCTCGGATATTTACAAGAGGACTCTGCTACGTTCGCAAACACGCTTTCTCTCGCTCTCTCTCTCTCTCTCTCGCTCACTCTCTTTCTCACACACTCTCTCTCTCTTTCTCTCACTTGGGCACACATACGCCTCTGATCACTCGCACCGCTCCACGCTAGAAATATATCTTACATGAATCGTCTATCTTATCGTTACACGTCGGTACCATATATTACAAGACGCGTTCTGTCTGTACATGTGGAGGTGTAGTATAAGTGTTTTGTGTAAGGTGCGTGTGCGTACACGTTTGTCAGTGTCTCCGTGTGTACACGTCCAAATATGATCGTACGGACCTAATTTAATCAACAAATCCTCCGTTAAATTTGTTCACATTCTTCGCGATCACAGTGATTAATCCCGAGCCTCTCGACAAAAGTCTCGTAGAAACGTTCGATGCGACCTGTGGCGTTCAACATCGCCGAAAGTCGGCTTTCATTTTCTCTTCGGTTTCGCAAGGAATCGCGATCCTCGCGACCCCCCTCACCCTCCCCTACTCATCTCATTCTAGTTCACTCGCGATGGGCGAGTTTCTCTCTTTCCCTATCTCTCTCTCTCTCTCTCTCTCTCTCTCTCTTCCTCTTTCGCTTTCTCGCACTCACTCTGTCGTGCTCTCCGTCTCCATCTGCCTTTTTCTCTCGCGCTCGCTCTCTATTCTCCGGTCTCCGCTCCGTCGTCAACGTCCTTAGCTTCGGTCCGCCGGGCAGCTTTAGTAACCGCTGAGACACCTGAGCTTCTTCAAGGGAGGCGACAACTCGTTTCAGCTGGTCGACGCCTGCACGGACATTGGCGGAGGTTTCACCGGGCCCAGAGCGGGACCGGACAGCCCGTTGTTGTTCATGTCGCCGGGAGCCCTCGGACCGCCCACGCCTATGGCCGTCCCACCGTTCGCTGTCGGCGTGCTCCCCGACATTTGTCCCTGCAGCCGTTAATTCATCTCTGTTACCAAAAACTCTTGGAAAAGGGTGCGAACGGGAATGGAAATTACTAGTGACACGTTGGGGCTGACAATCGGCAAAGATCTCGCGATACGAAAAAAGAAAAACTAGAAAGCGTACCGTAGCTAGAATTATTAATTAAGAATTAAGAATTATAATTAATACCGTGTTAGCTATCACCTGATAGAACACAGAGTAATAAATGCTAAAGGGTTTTTCAGTAGGATCGCTACATTTTTTAACGTGCTTGTGTTCACGTATTTGGCAGTTGCTTCTATTTCTTTTTAGATTTTGATTTGCTACGTTCTGTGCCATTCGACCGTGAAGGAATATGTACATACTGGAACAACGTTTACAAATTACTCAAATTTATTATGAGAGTTCTCGCCAAGTTGCAACAATTTCGTGTGCGCTTCATCCAATGTATGGTCATCGCAACTGTCCTGCTCGATCCACAATCGAACGATTAGTGAAAAAATTTTTAAAAATTTCTCTCAAGAAACATTTTTTATTCATTTTTCTTTTTCATTTGGTTCGTGCCAACAACTCACACAATTTAGGCGACTTGAGAATCAACATGAGAAGCTACCATTCGATTCGTTACCGTTTATTTACCAGTTACCATTTATTCGTGATATTCGAGCTGATTGGTGTAAAGAAGACAAGAAAAATTGAATTCATCGGATCCATCTCTGTAATCGTAACCGTGGCGGATATTTGAACGATATTATGTTTCATCATTAACCATCAGACGGCGGATCACTTTCGCAACTGTACTATTGAAGTTGCTTGTAACAATTCTGATCTTTATTCAGCAATATTTTTGACAATATTTCTTAATTAACCTTTCCGTTGTTCCTAATGTAATAGCAATTTATTTCAGTCAATTGGCGACAATTTACTAATTAAGTGAACAACTTAGATACTTTGTCGTCTCAAAAAAAGGTAATGTTATTAAATATATATGAATGTGATATAAATAAATCATTGGCATCTCACATACTTTTTATTTCATCTAATAGCATTATTGTAGCATTCTTGCTGAAAAACCCTTTACTTCAAGATCCTTTACAGCATTGTCAAATAAAATTGTGTAATTTTAGCGAGCATAGATAGCTTAATGTAGATGCCACGAGTTCATAAAGATCCGCAACCTTGTCACAAATTTTGTCAAGTATTTGCGGTTAGCATAATAATCGACGTGTTGAAAGATACTTAGGCGAGACATTGATTGAAGCGAAAGTTCTTTTGGAGCAAACAAGACGACAGTTACTTTCACATATTGGTTCCTTGTTCTTTGACTTTTCTCTTAATCTTTTTATCAACGTATCCCGCAACATATACGGCTTTTCAGAAACTTATTTTACGATCAAACATTACACGTTAAACACAAACCAATGAAATTGTACCAATTCTTAAAACAATGCTTTTTATAGTTAAATACTCCGCGAACGTAATTTTCTTATCTATCTCTGCGAGTTAACTATAAACACATTGATAATCCATAAACGATTTTCTGTTTTGTAACATCATGTCTTACGTTAGTGGCAAGTGAATATTTTTGATGGTTCGTATAACCAATATGAGAACGTGTGCATACTATATCCATTCATTACGGAAACCATAATATAAAATAAGACGGTGTAATACGCCGGGTTATCTCGCGGCAGACAACATGTTAAGGAAGCTAACGGTAGAAATCAAAGCAGGTAAAACAAGTTTCATAAACATGATACCAGAAATAGATGCATAAGGGAACGATTGCAACGATCATTCGATAAACTGAAGTACGTTAAGTTAATTCATATCGATAGAAGGCAGAACCTTGCTAGGCTGGAATGGCTAGAATGGCTAGAATTGCGAATAAACTAAACGATCTTTCCGGTATTTTCAATATTTCTCTGCCGTCTCCTTAGGGCTTCACGTATCTCTGTCTAAACAGTATTTCAAAAGGGCTTACAGAGCTCGTAAAATACAGGATAATAACAATAATTAACGTTCAAGGATCGTTTTACTCGTATGAAAACAGTTTGAAGATCGACCGTCAATTTTACTACATCTAACTGGGAATTCCAATATCTTCCCCGCTATTGGGTAATCAAAAGGACGTCCAAATTGATTGGTAATTTTCCAGACTGGTATCTGATTGCTCTTATAGCCAGCGATCGAGGCCATTGGATCGAAGAATGATATTATGCAGACTTGATAGCGTATTCGTTCCGAGCGGAGTCGATGAACGACCGACTCCAATTAGTGTCTTAATCCATCCCGTGAAACTGGTAGCACAGCGATCGACGAAGACACGATAGCGTCAAAGAACGCGCGTTTTGCATCACAAACATGGGGGATAATCGGTGATAGAGAGGATGGTGCAGAGGTCTTGCTATAGTACAATTAAAACGCGGGGCACTCTTCCTATCAATAACAACGACAAAAGCACGGCCGATTTCATGCAGGCGCACGTGAAACGCTTCAAACGTTCCGCCTCTCTTAACTTACGTTCGACGCGTGATTATGTTGACCCACCGACTGGCCAAGTCCCTGATGAGGTTGCTGTGGATTGTGACCAGGATGCATGTTCTGGCCTGGCGGCGTCGGCGTTGGGGGCAGTTGCCTTTTGATGTACGCCAGCGAAGCGGGTGTTTGTACTGACATATTGGCGAACGCCAGCATCTCCTCGTAATCGTACTCGCAGAGAATTTTGTTCTCGTTCAGGTAGAATCGATCGCCTACGCAAAACCTGCAAACAGAAGCAGCCAGTGTCGCAGCTTTGTTGATCGCCCGGACCCGCGAATCGCCGAGTTTCCGCGCGACCAGATCATTATCTGCCAGCCCACGAGCACGTCGCCGGCTGACGGCGACACTGTCATGCTCGCAGATGAAACCTAGCGATGCTTCTGCTTTCCCCGCTTTATCGCGGTACAGTTCCTTCGCACGCTAGTCAAGGAAGCAGTAATTATATACAGGATGTCCCGTAATTATGTTAAAACCCGAAAAAATGTGATTCCTAAGGTCATTTGAAGAAACTTTTTCCGTAGCGAAGATTCAATCCGCGGCTTTGTTTACGAGTTATTAGCAAAAAAAAAACAATAACCAATGAGAAGCGAGCTCGGCTTTCGCAAGACGGTCGAGCCAACAACCGCTTAAAGCCTAGTTCCGCTCTTTGGCTCGGTCGCCTCGCGTCAGCTGATCTCGCCTCTCATTGGTCACTGTTTTTTGTTAATAACTCATAAACAAAACCGCGGATTGCATTTTCGCTAAAGAAAATGTTACTTCAAATTACCTCAGGAATCACCCCTTTCCGGGCGTTAACATAATTATGGGACACTCTGTAAAACAAAAATTTATAAAAATTACAATTTATAAGAAAATGAATACTGATGAGCTGAATGAGAAAATGAATACTGAAATTATATTGGTACCAAATAATTATTGGAAATTTGTGAAAAATCATTGCAAGTTTCAGTCCGACTACAATCACATTGGACCAGACACAGATCGTTCTGCGAACTTCTGCTTGTTAAAATCTACACAGAATTCACATTTACAAGTATTTGCACTTGAAAGTTAAAATGAAGTCCGATGTATATCACCTTTAATCAAATTTGTATATGCTTCCTCAAAGTTCAAATTGGTAAAAATTGACGGTTGCTCTTCATGAATTAAAAAGGTCTCGTGAAATGCATAAATAACTGAATTGTAGTTGACATGTAGAACTATGTATTACACACATTCCATTTTAGTTTCGATTTGAAGGTTTCCTTTCTGTAACGCTATACCGGCAACATGGAGATTATCCGGAGGAACTAACATTTTGGATCTTGAAACTTCGATACTTTCTCACTTCGAAAGAAAAAAAAATTTGTTTAATGTAAAAGTTGACAAAATTTACTTTTGTCCACAAATTGCCGCTTCCCCGACTACTGTGTACTAGCAAAATTCGAACCCATGTTTATTATTACGTAACTTACAATTTCCCCGAAATCGTGTTTTCGAGTCGACTTTGCTTGTGTGCCGTTTACTTGAACGTAAAAGTCGTTAATTAACGTACGCAGCGTTTCCGATTGTTGTCAAATTATCAATATTTGTACTGTTATAATTTCATGAAAGCGTATCGTACAACAACGAGTCTGGACTCATTTTAAAGCTTGAAGCTTCTACGTCACGTATTGTTCATTTTCTTGTAACGTATTTTTACATAATATAACAGGTGGGAAACTGGAGACATGCTCTTTCTGAAAGATATTACAGATTAAAATCTCTGTAAATACATTGGAAAATGTTTTCCACGACTGATCCTAGCATAGATTTCAAGATCGAAACCTCTCTTTTACGATGACCAATTAAACTTTGATGTGCGATATTTTCTAGTCATTCTATCGAACTTCGAATGAAAGATGTACTGCCTACTTTACAGTGACAAAATTGTCGCAATCCATGTCTGGATAACTGATCGTTCATGAGCACTGTCCTCTTGAATCGCTACATTCGGTACTATATAGGGTGCTCCAAAAATGTCTCGCAATCCGGAAATGGGGGTTCCTGATGTCATTTGAAGCAACTTTTTCCTTAGCGAAAATGTAATACACAACTTCGTTTACGAGTTATCAACGAAAAACAGTGACCAATGACTGGCGAGATCAGCTGGCGCGAGATGGCCGAGCCAATGAGCGGAAGTGGGCTTCGCGCGCTTGTTGGCTGGGCCGCCTCGCGCCAACCGAGCTCGCCTCTTATTGGTCAGTGTTTTTCGTTAATAACTCGTAAACGAAGCCGCGGATTGCATTTTCGCTAAGGAAAAAGTTGCTTCAAGTGACATCAGGAACCTCCAATTCTCGCATTATGAGATATTTTTGGAACACCCTGTACTGACTCGCTCAAGTCGCATGGCTGAACACGTTTTCTTATACTAATTCTACATAAAATATAAGGCAGTAGTAGTAGTAGAATAGGTCAACATTTCCTTCTCTATAGTCTGAGAGTGTCGGCAAGGTAGTTGTGCAGACCGAATTTATCAAATCTTCGACTCGACAATATTAACATTTTTAAATAGGTAGAGCGATGACAGATAGCACAATAAAATATAAGATGTATTTTTAGGTAGCAATTTCAATGTGCAGGATAAAATTTTCAATAACTTTTCATGTACTGCAGAAAACTTATTTTGAAGTATTATTCAACTATCTAATATAGAAATGAGTAGTGGTCTCGAATGCAAAATTTTATTCCATTTGTGGTTCAAATGCTAACTTAACTACTCGAAGATGTAAATTGTATCCACTGATATTAGTATTAACCATTTGCGGACGAAGCCGCTCGACGGGCTTTTATATACAATACCTGTCGTCCACAGGTATTAAAATAAAAATGTTATGTAAAATATGTGGAAAACTTTGCTGGTTACTTTGGTAGTGACACTGAAAGACTGACTCGACAAACTGAAATTCGTTCTGAACCTACGGATAAATTAATAAATTTATATTAATAATTAATAAATTAATTTTAAAAAACGGTAAAAAGACTTGGGCAGCTATTTGCCGACACTCGTCCGCAAAGGGTTAATATCACACAGAAAAATTCTAACAAAATAACTATTACTAATCGGAGTGAAAACAACGACTGAACAAATTTTAATGATTTCAAGGCGTGTAAACGTTCATGACAAATAAAATTCTGCAAAGGTGATTTTAACGTTCTCTGTCAAGATCACCTGCAACAAAAAGTAAGTCAGTAATCAAGGTGTTTTGTATGAGCTATATACCACGACCTCGTAGTGACCTTAAGATCAAACAAATGATCTGAAAAATGAATACTTGGAACATTTAATAAGCTATGAGGATAATATCCTTTTTACATTTTTCAAAGTGAAATTCAAATTGTTCTTCAATTCAATCACGATTTTTCAACCAGACCCCTGTTTACCTTATTTGTTTGAATACAATTTCCAATGCAATAACAAACCGACTCATCTTTCCGAAAAGAAAGAAAAATATTTCACACATCCACTTCCCTCTTGTTCCTCCGAAGAGCGATTAAAAAGTTTCCGCCCGAAACTGGCGCACGAATTAAAAGTAAACTGAAAAGGAACACGCGAACAATTCTTCCAGCAAAGCGAACCGACGACGAGCGGACCTGTCAAAAGGGGTGGGGGCTCGTCGATAATAGGTTGATTGTCGCGACGAACGAAATAGAAAAAAAAGCACCGAAGGGAAAACACTGCAGGTATAGCGGCAGGGGGGATTGGGGGGACGGGCCGCGGATAACGAGCGTATCGCAACGTGTCGGACAAATAATTATTATCGGGCTTCTGTCCGCGAGTGGTCTCACATCCGCTTTGATCCCGGTAGGAAATGCGAGAGCGAAATACGAGAGCGGCAGAGTCTGGTTCGAGGTAGATACTCTCATAATCGTACAGCAAATAGAATTATCGCGTTGCACGCGGCCGTTGCGTTGCCGGCGAGCATAGCTTATACCGGGTTTCGCTCGTTTCCCCCATTATACGCGTCGTCTGCTAAATGACGTTGTACTCCGATCCTCATCCCTCCACTCTTCTGCCGCCCACTTTCTCTCTCTCTCTCTCTCTCTCTCTCTCTCCCGCACGCGCTCGCTCTCTCACTCTTGCTCTCCCTCGCTCTCTTTCTCTCTTGCTCTCTCTCTCTCACGCTCTCTCTTGCTCTCCCTCGAGAGAGAGAGAGAGAGAGAGAGAGAGAGCGAGCGAGAGAGAGAACAAGAGAGAGCGTGANAGAGAGAGCGAGCGAGAGAGAGAACAAGAGAGAGCGTGAGAGAGAGAGAGAGAGTAAGAGAGAAAGAGAGCGAGAGAGAGAACAAGAGAGAGCGTGAGAGAGAGAGAGAGAGAGAGTTTCTCTTCTCTCTCTCACACTAGTGTTCTCTATCCTTGTATGCCATGCCACTCTCCCTCGCGCAATTCACCCGACCATCACCTGCTGATTCCTGGAGACTGTCCACCAAGCGAGATCACGGTACGACCGGTCTCCCACTATCAAGGTGTTCTCCTTGCCAATTGCTGGTCAGCTAAACCACACAAGGCTATTTACTGTGGCCGACCAATCGCGACCAGCTTTTCCGGCGCCTATTCTCTTCGCTCTTTGCTTCCGGTTTTTAACCGCCCGGTCCACGAAACGGGCGACTCAGTGCAGGTGTTTGAAAGAACAAGGTGTAAAAAGTAACGAGATTGAACGTATATTTCGATAGCTATGTATTGAAACTGGGAAATTGACAGTAGCTGAAATGTAGGGTGATTTGTCCAGTAAATAAACAATTGAACCGTATTTGTTTAAATGGTAAACTGCAAATCGTTGTTCAATCATCTGAACGATAACATCGTGACCGAACTGTTTTACTACTTAGTTTGTATATCCCTGAAGACAATTCTAGCACATTTTCATAGTTATAGATTTTTCGAAAAAGTGATATAGAATTTTGTAAAAAGTACATCGAACGACCAACGAATGAACACAAATGAATCAATGAATGGATAATCGTAGCAATGTTCCAGTGCGCACAAATTATACAAACGTTTATCAAAATTACAAAATTATGAAAGCATATGTCATACATTTTGTAAAAATGTATCGATTTGAATAAATGTTCATGCATTGGTCGTTCGACGTGTTTACCACTAAGTCACTTAAATTTCCACACGTTTAAAAAGAAGCTATAACTATAAAGGATTGATTTTAAGAAGTATGCAGCTTAACCCACTATCCACCGATGTTCCAGTTT